TTGAGAAGGAGTTGGAGGAAGACATTTTGGAGTTAATTAGTGGTGATATTAGCCAAAGACTCATGATACCATGTAAAAAATTTTATGAATGGAGAACTTTTCTTACTCAAGCTGAGAAGAGAAAAAATACATTTATTTAAAGAGAAAATTGTTAGAAATGATAAACTTGCTAAAGATAATATTATAAAGATAAAAATGAACAAATCATAATAAACTAAATAAAAACTTAAAAAACAATAGAATCAATCTAAGCTGAAATCTAAGGGAGGTGTATTGGTTTAAGATTTCGTAGGATTTTGAAAGACTTTTTTTGAGTAAAAAAGTTCATTGGTATTCAATCAGAATTTTATGTCACTTAAAAATAATCCAGTGGTATTCAATCTGGATTTTCAAGATTTTTTAAAGAGTCCATTAAAATTTATTGGTATTTATTTGAGATTTTTTACAACTTAAAAATAATCCATTGGTATTAAAAAATATAATGATTTTAAAGGATTGTTGTGTGAGAGGGATTTTGAAGGACTTTTTAGTGTTATAAAACAATCTCATCCAAACCCATGGGATTTTGAAGGATTGTTTGAAGTGACTTTTCAAGAATTTTCAAGTGAGTTTTTCATTTTTTTTCTATGCTCCTGTCTTCTCCATTTTTTCTTTGCTAATAATATTGCACTATTGTTCATTGCTCATATATAATATTGTAATACTATTCTCATCTCATTTCCCTATTTTGTGAAACTCCGATATGTAAATGACAGTGTCATTGACTTGCTCTATTTTTCTGTTCATTCTCTTTAATTGACTTGCTTTATTTTATTCTATGTAGTTGAATTTGTTCTTTTATATAACAAAAAAAAATGCTTGAAATTTCAATTTTTAAGTGGTAATTTTTTTTATAATACACGTCAAGAAAAGAAAAAGGTGAAAGATGAAATTGATATCATAATCTCTACAATATATATATATATATAAGATGAATTTGAGTTAGGGTTTCTGTGAGTAGAATGAGATGAAAATGGATCTTAGTTGGGGAAAAACCCTTTTAGCATAAAAATTGCAATCTCTCTCCTTCCCTTGAGTTTGTTACTTTTATCTCTCCTCCTTTTATGACTCAACAATTATTTTATTTTATTTACTATGAATTTTTTATATATTATGAAATTAGGATTTTTTTATATTTAAAAAAAAAAAGAAAATTAACATAATTGCAGTATCTAATTTTTTAGGGTTTAGAACTTATGCCTTCATTAACTTATTTTTGAAAAAGGAAATATTGTTAAAATATTTGTTAGAATAATTTACATTTATAAATATCGTTAAAAATTATCATATAATATATAACTAAAATAATATACGATTATACTGATTTTTTTATATAAAAAATTATCTTATGTTTCTATATTTCCATTTTTACATGTTTTTTTATAATGGCTGAGGTATTTGATCCATTTGAATAGCCAATATATATTCGATCTTATATGATTAGTGTGCTTCTAAAAATAATAATATAATTTTATTGATTTTGTCTCTTATCCGTAATTATTTATATAACTAGTTTTCAACATATATTGTTTTAGTAATTCAAATGGGAGACTCACAAGGAAATAATAAAGGAAAAGAAAAAGAGAAAGAAAACTATGAAGCGGTGGATGAACTTTCATTTTCAACGTTACCGATGAATGAATATCATACTTTTGAGCCTATTATTCAAACCCAGGAACAAGAGCAAGAAGACGCTAATGCTTGGAGGACTAGTATAGCTATGAATATGTGGGTGAATGCTATTTAAGAGGATATGATATTACGGAGAATTATTATTATTATTATTTATCTAGACATTGCTTTTTTTTTTGTCTTTGACTCTTTAAATTTGAATGTATGAATTTTTTTTTTTGAAATCTTATCAAATGTCAAAAATTCACGAAAATTCTACAAAATCCCATAGAATCCATTAAAATCTTGATTTAAAAGCCTTGCAGAATCTATTAAAATCCTGCAAAATCTTAAAAGTCATGTGTAACGCCCGATTTATATAATAATAATCATATATTTCTTATATAATATTTTCGCAATTATATCGTTAACAATATTTTTTTTAAAGATAAAGATAAAGAAACAGAATATTTTGTGAATGACATATTGTTCTAAAGTATTTATAATAATGTATTATTTTACACAATATTTTTTTCTTTCACTTCTATTACAAACTTTACATTGATAATGGGAATAAATTTACAATAACAAATAAAATTATAATAGATTCATCAAATAACTTCCACATTCCAATTTCTTCCAAGAAAGACAACAACTATAATCACTGCAAAATGCTCTGGAATCCCAAGTAGATCCATCTATTTACAACCAACAAAAGGATATTTCACCTTAACAAACCATAGGATATTTCACCTTTATTCCTTACTCATTTAAATCCCCAAGGTCAAACATCCAACTACAAATAATTCAAACTTTATCTTCTATGGCCATAGAACAATATTTCTCTTCATAAATACGTGAAGAAATAATAACAAGACGAGTCCAAGATATCACAACTATATCATAGTTGATTATAAATATATTTACAATAAATATATTTACGTAAAAAGAATATATTAAGAGTACCAATAATATAAATAAAAATGACAGTCATTATAAAATAATTAAACAATATAAAATATGAACACCTTAATAATTGTTATGGATAAAAATAAGCATAGGTTAAGAAAATAAATGAGGTTAGGGACACCCCACTGAATAAATACACATAAAAAATAACATAAATAAATAAACATAGTAGTATATAAAATTTTAAAGAGATAAAGTTCTTCTCCCCCTTACCTGGATAAGCAGGAACTAAAACTTGAGCAGAATCTCTTCTTCTAGATTCCCTATTTTTCTTTCTCTCTCTTTCTTTCTCTTTCTCTTTCTCTCTTTCTCTCTCTCTCTCTTTCTCTCTCTAAGATTTTCACCTTCTCACTCAGTTATAATTTTTTCTCAGCCCATGCCTTCTATTTATAGTCATTCTGGGGTCCCCGGAACGGCCCGTACTGGATTCGGAACGGCCCGTTCCGGATCCTTCGAACATAGGCAAATTTAGCAACTGGAACGGTCCGTTCCAAAATCAGAACGACCCGTTTCCAAAAAGCAGAATGGCCCGTTCTAAAACTAGAACGGCCCGTTCTCGGGTTCCATTTAGCATAGGTTGACCATAATTGGGAACGCCCCGTTTCTAACTAACCTTTTTAGGCATTTTCAGAATTCCGGAACGGCCCGTTTCCCTTTGGGAACTAGAGCTGTCAAAATGGGCTTGGCCCGGCGAGCCAACCCGGCTCACCACGGGTTCGAGCCGGGTTGGGTTAAAAAAAATTTGAAAATTTTAATACGGGTCAAATTTGAACCCGGCTCACCACCAACCCGTGATTAATTTTTTTTTTTTGAAAAAATACAATAATTATTGGGTCATGGTGCAGTCCAACATGAGACAATAATAATTTAATGTTGGATTGTGATATGTAATTTTTGTGATTTTGGATTGTATTTGAAGTTTAAGATAATTTTGGATTATATTTATCTATTTGAGATTATTTAGATTTGATTTGATTGTATTTAAAATTATCATTTAATGTTTGGGATGAATAATTCATTTAAGGATGTCTTAATTAAGAATCTCAGATTTTTAAAATAAGTTTAAATTTTTGGGCTTTAGTTGTATATTAAAAAAAAATTAAAAAAATTGTTTTTTTTTAAGGTGAGCCAACCCGTTTAACCCACCAACCCGTGGTGGGCCGGGCCGGACTCGATTTTTTTGAGCTCACTGATAAATGAGCCGGGTTGGGTTGACCCACCAAATGGCCAACCTGTGGTGGGCCGGGCCGGATAGCCCGTTTTGACAGCTCTATTGGGAACGGCCCGTTCTGGAAAAACACAAATGGGTCATTTTACAAATTTGGAACGGCCCGTTTTACTTTTGGAACGGCCCGTTCCGGGCCAACAAACACAAGCCTTTTTAGAAATTTGGAACGGCCCGTTCTGAGCCCAGACTATTATTTTATTATTTTTAATTATAAAAAATCTCTTTAATAATCTTCTAAATATTTAAAATACATAAAATAAAAAGAACCCTTTTTATTAATATTGTATAAAATTTGGGATGTTACATCATGAAAATCCTGCAAAGTCTTTTAAAATCCGCAGGATTTTTTTTAACTAAAAAAGTCTTTTAAAATCCTAATCCAATACACCCCCCTTATCCAATGTAAAAAATTCACAAAAATTTTACAAAATCTACAAAATCCCATAGAATCCATAAAAATCCTGATTTAATAGTATTGCAGAATCCATTAAAATCCTGATTTTAAGTCTTGTAAAATCCTGTAAAATCTTAAAAGTCATGAAAATTCTACAAAGTCTTTTAAAATCCGTAGAATTTTTTTTAACTAAAAAAGTCCTTTAAAATCCTAATCCAATACACCCCCCTAAGATTAAAGAGTTAATACACCCCCCCTAAGATTAAAGAGTTAGGTTCCTGCATCTTTACTAGAAATTTAAAATATGCAGAAGGTAAAATAAACGGTCTTACATGTGTATATTATTCGACTGTTATGAAAGATTTTCTATAAATAGCTACTGGTTTCGCAAATTTTGTGTTTGTATTTTGTACCACTTTCATATAATAAAATCGTAGTCTCTTCTATTAGTTTTATTTTTCTTTTGTAGTTTTTATTTAATCTATTTAATAGACTTTATACTCGATTTATATATACTTCAAAGTTTAACACAATTATTTGAATAATCGTTCAAGAGGATGATTGTGAAGTAATATTTATTATTATTATTATTATTATTATTATTATTATTATTATCGAAATGAACATTAATATTGAGTTTTTCGTATAAAAATTAACTTATTTAAGTTGAAAACCATTAAATTTGGTAGTTCGACTAAAAAAAAATCAATAAACGAATTTTACTAGAAACAACCACAGAAAACAAAGCAACATAAGGAAATTAAACGAAAACTTTATTTGATATTAATTCGGAAACAAATATAATGCACGGTCAATTTTGTCTTCCCGTGACTCAAGTCGCATAAGACTAGACAAACAACTAACTTTGACATGTCCTAAGATCGGTAACCAACCCCGTGCCTTTCATTCTCTTCTAGGTGCATACACTCGATTGAATCCCATCGTGTGAGCAAACCTAAACACTGTTTCTTAAAAGACCGAAAAGAGAGAAAGGAGAAGAAAAAAAATACTATACGAAACAAGTGGTTAATCAAGACATACAGATAAATATTTTCATACCCGCTATTTAGGTCCCTTGAATCTGGTATGACTAGGATTGAAAATTAATATTTTCAGGTAGGTTAACGGTTCATACACTATGAAGTAGAGATTGGGAAAAAAGTGATCAAGATAACTTATATGAACAATGTAATTTTGATTGTGCAGTTAAATTTTGTTGTCCACAGTAATCTTATTCAACTTCATCAGGGTGAAGGGAGAATTTTGTTGTCCATAATAATTTTACTTGATTCGAGAAGATGATTGTGGACATTGATTTATACCATGACAAAAATAAATGAATAGAAAAACAAAGGGGTTGACAAAGAAATTGGGTTGCGAAATTACTAAAATTTTAGGAGAATGGTGAGTTATCAAAGGTAAAGTTTTGGCCGTCTAATATATGAAACTGATCAAATGGGAAGTTTAAGCTTGCAAGTGTTGGAGAGTTAGCAGCTGATGTAACCGCTGAAATCATGTCATTGACCTCACTTCCAGAACTTGCCAAAGGGTGCCCTCTAAAGTTGTCAACCGAAAAATAAGTTGTGTCAGATGGGGACACATAAGAAGGGCAATTGAAATTTTGAGCATAGTTGTTTTCAATGATTGGGGAAGGGAAAACTTGCTCTTCCTTTTTTATAGTTGAAGTCAAAAGTTGGTGGAATGATGAGGCAAACGATTGATCTAGGTTCTCCGTTAGGACTCCTAGCCGTAAATGGAGATTCATAGCATCACTTGGTTGCTGCTGTGGAATTGTAGTAAAATTTGGTTCTTGATTTTCTGGGATCCCTAATGTTGGAACTGCAAAGGAAGCCATTGTGCATGTGTGGTTTCCCCGGTAATGGATTTCAAACACTGTTGGGTCTTGATCGGATCTTTGCACTTGCTTTGTGGCCATGCAACCTTCAAAATTTCTTTGGGCACATCTATAATAGCCTCTACATGTATAAATCAATGTTCATTAATTAATTTAGTTGTTTCAATTCAATTTTATATTAATAATACTTGTTTGCAAAATTAGCATTGCATAAATGAATATCTATATTATATATAAATGGAAAGATTTACCTCCTTCAAGCATAAATCTTCATAAAATTATTTTACTTAATAATTCATATGTTATATCAAATATTAATGATATAAGTGTTAAATTAAAATTTTTAATATATAAATAAAGTCTATATATTTTAAAATAATTTAAAAATTATTTAATATCTTATTTTATTAATTTAAATTCATAAATAATTATAAAAATATTTTATATTGATTTAAATCTATATAATAAAATATAATATAATTTTTAAATTTTAAAAAATTTGTAAATTTAATCAGAGTATCATATAATTTTTTTTAATTTAATAATTAGATAATTAAAATTTAATATAAAAAATAAATTATTTATTAATTAAAATTTATTCTTAGAATAAGTGAATCATCTATCAATATATAAAATATGGTGCTACCTTGGATACTTAGCTCCATGTATGCTTTTCTGGCCATATTTTCTCCAAGTATATCCATCATCAAGAGACCCTTCCACTCCCATCCCCGGGGTAACTCGAATCTGTTTTGTCCAACTTGGTTTAGTCCTCCTGAGATTTAAATAGAAAACAATTCACCATGTTATAGAATCAGGGCAAATTATATATATGTCTATAAGATCAACTCTCTTAAAAGTTGTTGCTCATGAAGTAATCCTCTAAACACGAAACATGGAAACAATGTCTTAAATTGTGATTATATCCACAAAGACTTGCACAAAACATTGTATCATGAAACTCGGAGACAAATGTGCGAGGCGATTTCCATTGCCTTCCATATCCCATTTTAAAACCTTGCATGGGAATTACTTGGTCATGCAAATTATTTATTCTAATATCCAAAAGGATAAAACTTTTATGGCTTGATTTCAAATACCTTTCGTTGGGGGAACTACGGTTGATTTCCCTCAGATCTTTGTCTGAGTTTCCATTGCGAGGACTTCCGCTCAAAGGTGGTGATTGTGAAGTTCGAATTGCAACCCTTGAGTGCAACATTTGTGAAGAAGGACGACCCACTAACCCCATCTTCAAGTTCACCATTTTAAGAGCCTTTTCAAATGCGTCTATGATCTTCTCGATTAGAAGCTCGTGGCTTTCTTGCGACGAATAAGGCGCGTGGAGAGAGATTTGGAGTTGCTTTGCCACTTCCATGCCTTGTTGTAGCACATGAATGAGGTTGCTACAATCCCAATCTCCCATGCTTGATGATCGTAATTTTATTGCGATATTTGATATGTGAGCAATTACAATAAAATACTATCGAAGGGGTGAAGTGAATTGAAAAACCTTGACACTAGAGTCAAGAATAAAAATTGAAGTAGAGGACTTCTTTTAAGCCTTGGTCTAGTCTATGAAGGCACCAAAGAATATGGTAAACGATTGGTGGAGAAGCTCTCCGGAAAGAGCATATGAGATCGAGATTGAAAATGAAGAAACTTATGTCAAAGAAGGCTTGAATGGGACATTATGATGAACCAAAAAGGAAGTGAAACATAGCCGCAATATGCGACATTGACCAAACAAACAAAAAACAAAATCGGAGTTGGTTTTTGTGATGGTAAAAGGACACAAAATGGGAAAGGGAATAAGAATAGATCTTGAGGTTTTGTGTGTATGGGATTAGAAAATAATTTTGGAGAAGGCACGATTATATATTGAAGTTGAAGTTCGAAAAGCTTAGGGTTAAGGGCCTCATTTTGAATGAAGAAAAAATGTGAAAAAAAGAAAGTTTGACCGAAAATTTGAACTGTTGACTTTCTTTATTGCTTTGCATTTGGACCGGTCTTTGGTCAAGAAGCGGTAGATCGATCGATTTTCTGACCTTCCTTTACCCCGAAAGCTACTTCTTTTTTGTACTATTCATCGGAGAATTTATTATATTTTGTACAACTTGAGTACATAAATTTATTATTGAAGCCACCTCATAAGAAGTCATCAAGCTTTTTTTTTTTCTTTTTTTTTTTCTTTTCCGTTTAAAGTTTTCTTTTTCTTTTCCGTTTACAGTTATTTGTCTTTTCAATTTAGTGCCCGTGAGAAAAATTACTGGTTATATATTTTTAATAAGAAAATAAGTGGAAAAATTGTGATCTTTATGATTAAAGATCTAACCACTAATTTCCTTTCACTTTTTATTTCATACTTGATTGTTATTTACATTATTTTAATAATAAGTTTTATTTAAATTTTAAGATAAAATAATACATCTTTTATGTTTTGGAAAACAAATATCTACAAGAATTTTTTTTTCAAGAAAATTGATTAATTTGAATCAAACCAAGCCATTGTTCATTTATTTGATTTGAATTGTAATTTTTTTTAAAATTCATTCCAAATCAAACTAATCAAAATTGATTGGTTCAAACTTTAAAACTGATTAATCTGAACCAAATCAATTCATTGATTGATTTGATTTGGTTTGAATTGTAATTTTATTTTTGTGTTTATCCTAGATTTGAGGTCTATGAACACCCTAACATATATGTATATATTGTAAGAGTAAGTTTTGAAAGAATTATTTTACTTAATAATTTATTATTTATGCTGAATTTCAATAATTTAATTATTAAATTAAAAATATTTTTAATACATTAATTTTTAAATATCTTTATTTCCTCGCTAGTAAAATATATATGCTTATCTATCATATATGATATATTGAAACTAAAGATTGAAATAGAATGTCCATGATTTAAGATTTGAAATTTATTGTCGTGATTGTAATTTCAATGATAAAAGAAATCTTATATCATATATTATGTTGACATATTTCATAGATATTTATATTTGTACACCCCATAATTTTATACATCTCATCGATACTTATAATTTTTATTTTTTATTTTTATATATTTATTAAATCATATCATATATTATCCCTATATTTTTCTTTTCTCTCTTTCATGTCAAAATGATATCACCGATGTCCAAGAATTTTGAAGGCATTGAAACAATAAGAAATTAAATATTTGGTGTAGTTGGAGGAATTGACATCCTAAAAAGAGATATACGAAAGTACTTTATTAGATCCACAGCAGCATGAATCCCTTCTCTTTTACATACATGCATTAATAAAAGCAACAAAAAAAATAAAACTGAGGGAAAAACTTAAGACCAAGAATCTTCAAACCTTGTTCCGCGTCGTTGGTTCTTCGTTGTTGTGGCCTTGTAGGAAACGTTGGTGACAGGGTTGAGTTATGACGTTGCCTCCCACGTCAACACTTCGCCTACCGTGCTACTTGTTCGAACCGAACCTTCCTCTCTCATCCTTCCAAATTTCAACTATTTTATTATTATTTTTACTACCACTTTTATATCTCTCTATATATTTTTTTTAGAGAAGAAATTTTCTTAAATTTAAGGATAATAATATCAAATACAAAAATAGAAATTTATTTAAAAAAATTAAAAAAAGAAATTTTATTAAATATAAAAATATAAATATTCAATATAAAAATGAAAATTAAAAAGGTAATGATCAAAATTTATTTCCTTTATAATTATTATTCTTAATTATAGTCATGAAGTGAGCGAGAGGCAACTTGGTATATTATTTTTATTCTTGTCTTCTAAAGAGACAACTTTTTACGATTATTTAGTTACAACTTACAAGAGACGCGCGCTTTAATCAATACTGACATGGATATTGATTGGTAATATTTTAATTAATAAAATATTAATTAGAGTATTTTTCTTCGTGATCACATTTTAAAAATATTTAATCCTTGGATTTATTAACTTTGAGTCTCACTCCATTACTTTCTTCATATTTTTATATCTACACTCGGATTCATGATTCATAATTCAAGTAAATGATATACATTATTGTTAACGATGTATTTAACAAACTAGTAAAATAAAACTACTATTTCAGTACTAAAATTAACTATAAAGTTTTAAACAAAAAATCAGGTGAAAATATATATAATTTAATTAAAAAAAATTGCAAACCGTATTTTTTGCTGTCAACATGTATAAGTTGGCAAAGTAATTCATCTTAGAAAACCCAGCTACCTTTATTTTGCAGGATGATTATTTTAGTATACGCATCTAATAACTAATATCCTTCTTTATCTGAATATTTAATTATGAAAATAAATGATAATAATTTAGTTACGAGGCTAAAATTTTCTCAAAGATTAACAATTTATAAATCAAACGAAACTAACTTGATTTTTTTAGTTAAATTCTGGATTTGAATTTTATGAATAAAAAATATCATTAGGAAGAGATCAGTTAATTATATTTTTTATTATAAATTAATCACTGACTTTATTAGTGAATATTTTATATTAATAACATAGTGATAAAAAAATATTCTTTAAAAATAAATAAAAGAAATAAACTAGAAGACTAAAATAATATTAAGAAAGTTTTTGGACACAACATTAATTGTTTATTTTTACTGTGCCTGAGTCTCTAAGACAATTATATATTTTTGAACTTACAAATGTTATAGAAACCTTATACTCTAGGAGTAGTTAATTAATTTTATTTCTTTCTCTTTCTATTTTTGTCTTTCTCATTCATTAAAAAAATTAAAATGGATGAAAGAACAAGTAACGGAACAAATTTCAAATAACAAACACGTGTTAACAATGGATTTGATAAAATTTTAAAATTGAGGCCTTTGCTCTTACAAAGTTAAGCTTAAAAAGATATGCACCATGGGAACTCACAACGTTACATTGGTTCAGCAAATGCATGTACCTGACCATGAATCCATTTCACGTTGGGGAACTCCAACTAGTAGTTTATAAACTAGACTACACAACAACTGACAAGTGAATATTAAAGAAAAACATGAAAGAAATTAATTAATGGTACGTGAATTACAATACAAAATCGTGATTTAACAAGGTTGAGTTCACTAACACTGTACTCAGTCTTATAAATATGTCCTAAATAAATTAGTATTTGAATCCTACTCGATATGTACTATGTATGATGAAAATTTTATTAAGGAAGAAAAACCATCACCTTAATTATTACCCCAACATTGTTTTTATTATTATTCGTTACAATATTAAGAATGCATGGTGGGTATTGGGCTACGTATTGGACACAGCACAACCACAAGTAAGATGCATCCAACAAAAGTGTAAAAGATTTTCCAACTCAATCAGCAGCCAACCACGTGTCCCAGATCTCATCCACATCTTCCCCCAAAATATCTGCTCCCCCATTCCAAACGCGCCACATTCACTTTCTCAGCCACGTCACGCCACATCTGTCCACGTGTACCCATCCTACAACGTCCCATCTCACCGTTGATTTTTCACACATTAAATTGTGAACACCAAAATTTTAGTATCTCGCGTTTAACAAAACCACAACCTCAACGCGTTCTCAGTCTTACGTTCGCTGTGCTCCAAATATCTGCGTCGATTCCGGGACTTGGCTCCGACATTGCAGTTACAGGTACTAGAAATGTTGCCTACAACTTCGCTTCATTGTTTTTTTTTTTTTTCAACACTATATCTTTTTATAGCTCACTCTTTTTTTAACCAATATTAGTGGGCACCTTAATTAAGTTGTGCAACATTTAAATCCACCTTAATTAAGTTTTGCAACATTTAAATCCTATGAAATAAACTATGTTGAGGATGATACATTAATGTGTTCACAATTTTTTATAGAAATTAGTGATTGTTTCTAGAGGTGAATACTTTGTATATTATTTATATAGAAAAAACTCTTTTAATTAATTGGGTTACTAAGAATTTTAATTGTTAGATTTATTACAAGCATTCGGGGGTGGGGGAAGAGTTTTGCTATCCATAGTGATCCAACCCGTCTCATATAAAATTGTCTCCTTTGGAGGATAACTGTGTTCTATACTGAAAACACTGAAAAATTTATAGTTTCTTTTTGATTTCTTATAAAACAATATCTTGGGTTTTCACTATATTGTTCTTTTGGTAGCAATATTGATGTAGATATTGATGCCACATCGATGGTTAATGAAGAGATTGTGCAGTTTTGTTATTAGTACATGTCAAATCCATGGAGGAAAAGTTGATATTAAATTGCTCTGCTGTTGTAGGATCTCTACATTGAAAATTTGTTTCACTTTTTATGTTCTAAACACGGCTTAGGAAACCTGGCATGGGAGTTGTTACTGTTTCTACCTCAGCTGCTAGGACTCCTCTAAGATTGAATACAAAGTTGACCAGCCATCAGCAGGCACTGAAGCGACCCTTAATCGTAGCTTTTAAAGGAAATAAATCGAATAAAACAGCTTTGGTTTCACCTCAAGAGCAAATTCCTCTGCCGGTAGAAACAGCAAAGAAACAGAAACACCAGAAAAGGGTAGGGAAAACTAATGAGTCACTGAAGAGAGTGAGAGCTGTCACTACTGATGAAAGCTCCACATTCACCTTGGATGTGGACTACAATGAAGCTGCAGCCAAACTTGAAAACATATACAAACTCAGCTCGGTATCAGATACTTGTAATGCAGAAGATGTAGATAGTAAAATCAAGAGAGTGTCGCGGAGGAGGAAGAAGGTTGGTGATGAACATGATGAGGGAAATGATGATAATGTGGTTAGAAACCAGAATAAGAAGGCCAAACGGTTGAGCCTTGATAAGAGGATTGCATTGAAAAAGAATGCAAAGGAGGAGGTAATTGTTCCAAGTAAGAAGAAAAGAAATGTTAAGAATACAATTGAGAATATTGATGTGCTTATCAGGGAATATTCAGCATCAACTGATTTAGTTAGCATGGACTGGAGAAAAATGAAAATTCCGCCAGTTCTTCCTTCTTCAGAACATGCATGGTTGTTTAAGTTGATGCAACCTATGAAGGTGAACTTTTTCCCCCTTTTTTGGTCATCAATGCACTGTCTTTTATGATTTTTCTTTTCTTAAAATAGAAGTGTATCTACTATTGCTGAATGTCAAGGAACTAGTCAACCTAAAAGCTTAAGCAGGAAGATGATAGATTTGAACTGATTTTGTCTTTGGTACACTTCCGGTGAAAGTCATTTGGGCTTGAAGGATGCACAAAGCAGAGGTTGTTCTTAACTGTATAGAAATTTCATCATGAGAATGAGTTGTCACAGATCCACATCTTGAGCATATAGTCATGCAAGCTTTTGATACTGAGGAATCTTTAAATTTAATAGCTTATGATAATGAGTGAAAATCCATGAATTTTTTATATTAGGATCGTTATTGTTCAGGCACTCTTCCTAGTGAAAGAAGATTTACAGGCACTCGGGAAAGAAATTACAGATGGGGAACTAGCTGATGCAACAAACATGAGCATTGTTCAAGTAAGGAAAGCTGTAGAGGTTGGTCGAGCTGCCAGAAACAAGCTCATAAAGGTAACATGGAATGTTTAACTCTTCTTTTTAAATTGGCTTATATGAAGCCTTTGAAGATCAGTGCTATAGGGCCTATTTAGATGAATTTATTTAGAAACACTTCTCGAACAAAAAAATTAGAAAGAAAAAAATGAATTAAGTTTTCTCATAAACTAAAATTAGTTTATGCATAAGTTTTTGAAGAAGCTAATGTGAGAGAGTTTCTACAAGTTAGCTTATGTACAAGCTAATTTTAGCTTATGGAGAAACTTATTTCCCTTTTCCATTATATTTTTTTTTCTCCAAGAAGTGCTTTTAGAGAAAATAGGCCCATTACACCTTCATTCCTTCTACTTCTTTCTTAGGAGACTTTTTGGTGTGTGGAATGTTTTTACCTTCCCAAAAATTTGAAATTAAGAATGTTAGTTTTCCACATTTGGTTTATCATTTAAAAAATAACATTCCTAAGAAACAAGGAAACGTAGTTTCTCAGAATATGAGTTAAAAGGAATGTTTTACTGCCGTAAATATTACGTTATCTTAATTTGTGTAGTTAATGCAGTAAAAATCTATGGTTCCCAAGTGACATTTATAAACATTTCTCAAACTATTTATAATCAATCAAACAGATTTAATCATTCTTGGAAATCATGATTTGTAGGATTTATGATCACCAGGAATCATGATTCCCAAGTATGAAAAAATTTGCCTTCTACAAAACACCCCCTTAGTCTCTCATTTTGGAGATGACTGATTTAATTGTAGATGTGTTTGTTGCTATTCTTTGGAATGAGTAAAAATTTTAATGAAAATAAAATAGATCATGGTGATATCTATTGCAGCACAATCTCCGGCTTGTATTGTTCGTGATTAACAAATATTTTCAAGATTTTGCAAGTGGCCCAAGGTTTCAAGATCTTTGTCAGGCAGGAGTTAAAGGACTTATTATAGCAATTGATCGTTTTGAGCCAAAAAGGAGACTTCAGCTATCTACATACAGTTTATTTTGGATAAGACATTCTATTGTTCGTTCCATAACCCTCTCAAGCTTCACACGTGTTCCTTTTGGACTTGAAAGGGTATGCATTTTGCTCGTCCATATATGATGATTAATAATGTTTTGGTTTAAGTAACAAATGGATGAATTGCTTTTATTGCTAATTTTAGATAAGCAGCTTACTTTATTACATTTGTCAAGAATCATATGGCAACTTCAACAAATTGAAATTGCTAATTGGCTTGTTTATACTTTATAGTGGTTGAAAGTTGAAACAAGGAAAGGTCCAGGATTGTTTTCTTCAGGCACTAGATTTGGAAGAGGATTTTATAAATAGAATAGAATTATTAAAAAAAACTGATGCTTGTTTTGACCATATCTAATCTTTCCAAAGATATTTAAAGAAAATATATTGGTTAAAAGAATATTATAGACTTGGTCAAATTATTAGACTTTGCCCAGGTAGCTGCTTTTTATAACATCTCACTTTCATTTTGAACAGGTTAGAGTAGATATTCAAAGAGCAAAACTTGACTTATCGTTTGAGCTCCATAGGTCACCAACAGAAGAAGAGATAGTAGAAAGAATTGGGATCTCCCCTGAAAGATATCATGAAGTAATGAAGGCATCAAAACCCATTTTATCCCTTCATTCAAGACATATAACCACTCAAGAGGAGTTTATTAATGGGATTACTGATGTCGATGGTGTTAATGGTGATAATAGGAGGCAACTTGCTGTTCTAAGACTTGCTCTTGATGATGTGGTAATTACTCAACTCCTTGATACTATCCCTTTGATGATAAGTGAAATTTGATGAATAAGCTGCTAAAAGTTAGTGAAACTTTGGTAAATGTCAGTTATTTGCTGTTTTCTAGACATTTAAATTAGTATGACAAAATCTTGCCAACCAAAAATCTTGTTTCCTTTGTTCTTTTTGTTGTCCATCCTTGACAATGGACCTTGGGAGAACATTTGCACCCTTTGACTTTGACAATAATACAAGTATGTGGATAGTGTTATTATCCTTTTGTCCCCTATTTTTATAGTTTGAACCCATTTTCTGGATGTTATAGTTGTCAATTTTTGTCTCATATTAGCTAGCTTCTTTCTTATGTTTTGATCCCTTGTCTTCTTATTAGGTGCTTTTATGCTTTATTCAGTCGGACATTTCATTCCTATTGAGTATTTTTTCGGTGTAATATTTATGTCTTTACTTTTATATGTATGATAATACTAATTATTATTATTTTAAATAAATTTTCTCTACTAACTCAAGGTCCTAGGTTCGTCATTTATCCTTGATGTAGTAATTCTTACATGACTGCGGTGCATAAAAGCATAACAAAGCAATACGTTAATATATATATATATATATATTAAAGCAATACTAAAAAAAGACAACTAAGGCCTCACTTAAGTAGAGAGAGAGAAACATGAGTAAACTATAATTGGATACACTACAATGTATAGCTACCCTCATATTTATATTACTAGGACTAGTATATGCTAGCATATAGGCCAAGCTCGTATACATACTAAAACCCATTTATTCTTTATAGCAACTCCCAATAGTCCCCCTCAAACTAGAACATAAATGTTAATCATGTCCAACTAGTTACAAATATCATGTCCAACTAGTTACAAATAAAATCACCACTCACTTCATTCAAAACTTATGTAAACACATATGCTTCTTGGTTACCTGTCTTAATATAAGTAGGTATAAGATTTGGTAGGACCTTTTCTTAGATGAAATGACTATCTACTTCAGAATGCTTTGTTCTTTCATGAAAAATTGGGTTTGATGTGAAATGTATGGAAGCTTGGTTGTTGCACCATAGTTTCATAGGACAAGTATTAGCAAATCCTATCTCTTCCAAATTTTGTGCCACCCAAACTATTAATTCACAAATTATTTGATCCTTAGTCCTTTATGTCTTAGCAGAGGATATTCTCATCACATTACGCTTTTTTACTTTTCCAAGAGATCAAATTACCTCCCAAAAATACACGATATAGCCTATGGTAGATTTAGGGTCCATAAGAGACTCTGCCTAATTCACGTCAGAGAAAGCCTCCACTTGCATATGTTTGTGGTCCTTGGCACACAATTCCTTGGAACTTTCTTCAAATACTTAACAGTGTGGATTAGTGCTTCTTAATGAGTGTCCGTCGGAGAAGACATGAATTAACTTACAACACTTAATGGAAAGGCAATATCAAGTTTAATGTAACTCCTTTTGTTATCAACTTAACTCTTGGTTCCATAAGGATCTCACATGGTTTGGCTCTCATCAAACTAGTATTAGTCAACACGTCAAAACATACTTCCTTTGTGATAGGAAGATCCCTTTCTCTAAGTACATAACACCAATACCTAAGTACATCAAGGCCCACAAGTCTTTAGTCTAAAATTGAGTTTGGGGAAAGTTCTTCAAGTCACAATGCCTTTGCTATCACTTCCTGAAATCACAATATCATCAACACAGGGAAAATAATGCCAAGGTTAGTTTGCTTATAAAATACGATATGGTCATTTTGTCTTCACTTGAATCTCAATGCAAGAACCACTTCACTAAATCTCCCAAACCAAGATTTAGATGATTGCTCTAAGAACTTTAAGTGGCACACCTTTCCATAATCCTCCTAAGCAACAAACCAAGGAAGTTGTTCGATAAACACCTCGTATTGTAAGTCACATGCAAGAAAGCAGTCCTTGCATCCAATTGAAACAAAGGCCAATGATGTTTTGCAACAAGATATATAAGAATATAAATAGAAGAAAGCTTAGCAATAAGGAAAAAAATACCCATATAATCAACTTCACAAGTTTGAGAATACTCCTTGGCAACAAGGTGTGCCTTTAAAATATCCAAAAATCCATCATGATTCATTTTAGTGATATAAATCAAATACTTAGTTTCTTTTTCCTCAAGAGCCCCCTTGCTCCATCTTGTCTTTGGCCACCATGACAAAGGGCATCTAAAATAGATTTAGGAATAAAATTAGAATCTAGGCCAATAACAACAGACTTAGAGGTGGATGACAAATGAGCAAAACACACGAAAAAATAGGTTAAGTGCATTTAAATTTTCATTTGGGTAGAGGATGTTGGGAAGTCTCACATCGCCTATCTCAATCTTTGAGTGCAGTTTATATATATTTGTTGGACAGCTTTACTTAAGGTCAATTGGTTTTAAGAAGAAATCTAGCATGGTATCAGAGTCTAGAGTCCATCTTCGTGGTTTGTCTATTCTAGTAGGCATTGCTTGGTTTGGTAGGCATCTGCAAAGGAAGGGTGTTGGAAAGTCTCATATCACCTATCTCAACCTCTGGCTGTGGTTTATATATCTGTTGGACAACTTTACTTAAGGTCAATTGATTTTAAAATGAAATCCAATAGAGATTGAGTATACTCTGGTGGATCCTCATCGGTATGTGGAGCTTCATCTTGAGGTTGAGTTTCAGTTGACATTTGTTGGGACGAAAATATGTCTGCTAAGAAAACTAGATACTTGTATCAAGAGGAGTTGGAGGATATAGTGGATATAGTGCAAGTTAAGAAGGAAGGATATAGTGGATACAGTGCAAGTTAAGAAGGAATCATCCAACTAATACATAGGAACATAGGATTTAGACAACAATGGACGATCTTCAATAAAAGATGCATCCACATAAATAAGGTGTCAACCAAGGTTTGGATAGAAGCAATAGTACCCTTTTTGTGTCATATTGTAACTCAACAATTCACACTTCAAGGACTTTGAATCCAACTTAGGTACCTAGAGACGAATATCATGCATGAAACTCGTAACCAAATATTTTTTGGGGCAAGGGGAACAAAGAATGAGAAGGGAAAAGAACAAAGTGAGGAATTGCACCATTTAAGAAAGTAGAAGGTATGCAATTAACTAAATATGCAGTAGTGGGGACTACATTTGCCTAGGGATAACAATGGGTAGGGTAGGGTACTATAGTATCGGTTTGCATACATGTGCTTGAAAAAAAAATACTTGTACCTGCCTCTACACTCGTGCTGGTAACATCTTTAATCATTGTCCCCGTATCAATTAGGTATCTATATATCTATGCTAGTTCTCGCTACTTGCACTTTACTTATGTGTAACAACAATAAATTATTAAAAAACATTAATTAGAAAAGTTGTTGCAATTAAATTAAAAATCCATTCACATTATTTAAAACTAACAAAAAAATCCAAGCATAGCCTTAAATTGTTCAAACATAAGTTATAACTCATAATCAAATAACATTAGAAACATAACATTCTAAGCATAAGTTCTAATAATTTTACATATTCATTAAAAACTTGACATTATTTTATCAATAGGAATGATTAAAGTAGGAGCAATGAGGATTAGACATAAGCCTTTATACATTTATCCAAATTTCCTTCGTTGATTAGCTTATAATTTATATTATAAATTTAAAAGAAAAAAATTAAATAGACTAATTTATATCGTCATCAACATTAGATTCTTCATATTTGTGAAAAGTTTCCTCTCTAGTCTAAATATTGCTTTGGTCTAATAATACTCAAAAAAACTAAAACACGAAAAAAAGGCTAAGGATTAGACTATCAAAAATAATAATTAAAATATCATTAGAAGAAGAATAACTCTAATTGAATAAATAGATTAGTGCAATTTAAGATTTTAGGTAAAAAAAATATTACATTATAATATAATGTATTTTATTTAAAAAAAATTATATAAATAGAGGCCCAGGCAAGGTGGAGTGGGTACTATTACTATACTTCCAGACCCGTACTCATCCCTGTTGAATTTTGTGGTAAATCCCTATCCCTTCCCCATCTCCATTATACAAGTTTTTACCCTCTCTATTAAGGGTATCTTTTGAGTATCCATAGGGTCCGGTATATTTTGTCATCTTTCAACTGCCCAATAACTTTTTGGAACCTTCATCTCAAACAATAGAGCTTGGAGGTATCAATGAAAAATATAAATGTTATGTCTATTGTAGTAGTTTTGTAGTCGGATCTATAATGGTAGTTTTAGATTATTTTACAGTAGTATAGTTATTTGCTTCCTAATGGATATCCTATGTCTGATTAATTATTAGTAATTGCTCTTATAAGCAGTGTCCATGCCAGAATTGTCCTCATTGGTTAGTCATGATTTACAGACACCTAATGTTTGGATGTATTTTCCCATACACAATGCCTAATCCATTGGCTGAACATTTATTGGTGATTCAGTTGATAAGATGAAAATAAAAGTTTTAGGGTTTAGGGTTTAATTGATATGATGCCATTATAAAACAATTGTCATATGGTGACACAAATATTTGTCATTAAAAATTATTTTTACTTACACTATAGATATAATATATGTTAGTATATTGTTAACAAGTATAGATATAGACTATAATGACACATAATATATGTTGAATCTCATTCAAAATCGTCAGTAAAATTGTATGTAATTATGTATTAAATAAATTTATACCTATATATATTATATTTATAATGACACATTTTGTTTGTCACTGCTGTATGTAACATTTCTTGTAGTGTGATAATCACCGGTCAATGATTTTTCTAAAAGCATTACACCGTATTGATATGTCATTTTTTGTTTATTTTTTATTCTTTCTAGCTTGATTCCCTGAAGCCTAAAGAGAGCCTTGTGATCAGACAAAGATATGGACTTGATGGAAAAGGTGATAGAACATTGGGAGAAATCGCTGGGAACTTGAGTATTTCCAGGGAAATGGTAAGGAAGCATGAAGTCAAGGCTCTCATGAAGCTCAAGCATCCTGCACGGTTGGATTATCTTCGACGTTATGTTGTATAAATTAACAAATGTATATATGCTTCTATTGCTTCATAGTCCCATGTTACCTATAGCCATAGCCATGATTATTTAAGCATAGAAAATCATAATCGTTACTCGTGTAATTTGTATATGATGATGGACATATTTCTCATAGCCCACCAAAAAACAAAAGCTTATTTCTCATGAGAAATAATAACCAAATACATGTTACATTACATGTAATGTGTTTTTGTTTGTGGAATTGCATCCTAAATTATACAATATCTGCTAGAGTTCTTGTCTTTGTACTGTGTGATATGGTGAAAACAGTGTAGCTGGAATGTGAGAGAACTTGGAAAACATATTATGATTTCGGGCTCGTTTGGGTAAATTCCTTAAGAATTACTTATGGAAGAGGAAATTAAGTAGGAAAAAAAGACAAGCTTCTCCATAATAATCCATAATAATTTGGGTTTGGAAATTTCTTCAAAAGGACTTTTAAAAGAGAAAAATAAGAATAATGAAATCAAAGTTTTTTATTAATTAAAATTAGTCAAAAGCATAAATTGATTTGTAGAAATTTTTTTATTAAAATTTTCAAAATCTTAATTTTTCAGTTGTGCATAAATTAGCTTTAACTAATGTAAAACTTTTTTTAAATCCTCTTCCTATTTTTTTTTCTTAGAAATGCTTTTGAAAAAGTTTATTTAAATATATTCATTATAGAAGTTCTTGCTTATTAGTTTTTATAAAATCATATTAACTTGTATATAAGTTAGTTTTAACCTATGAAAAAAATTATTTCTATTTTATTTTTATTTTTTTTCAAATACTTAAAAAAAAATTATCCGAACCAACTCACTCTTACAATTATGTGCCTATGGTTAATACTTAATAGAGTTATATGCACTGTAATGGATTAATTCCTTTTTGAAACCGCTCCTATGATTTTTTTTCCCCCAAAGTTGACACTGTAATGGGTGCCTTACTGTAGATTTATTATGGGCTTCATTGGCTCCACTATTTGGGCCTGACATAGCTCTGTCATTTCTAAAGGGATCCTTATAATAACTAGTAATATGCATTAGCAGTTAAATTACCTTAAGATTCAACATTCAGTACAGATTATTATTCAATGATTATTATTCAACGCCCTCAAATAATTAATCTTGTGCAAATAGAAAGAAAAAAAACAATTAAAAAGGAAAGTCTTGTGCAAACCATTTTTTCTTGCTATCTGTGTTGAAGCAGAAATTTGAATAAGCCCAACAGCGATCAAGAAAATCAAGATTTATATGGAAGAAAAACTGTGTTCCTTTTATCATTTATATGCTTAAATATGGTGGCACCAACAATGCAAGTATATGGATTCGATCTTTTTTAATGCACTTTGCTCTAGTGATGGCTCTCCCCAGTTCCAGAATAAAAATAAAAAATAAAAAATAAAAAATAAAAAATAAATAGTTGTTTTTTGTTTGGTTGGAGAATGACATTAAGCCAGGTAAGCTTTGTTAGTGGAGTTAAGACTAATCTGTCTTGAAACAGAGACAGATAAAAAGAAGATGTAAACTTTATGACTTATATACATTCGTTAGTGCGAAGACATGTTTCATTGCATGCGAGTTTAATTTATTTCGATTTAAATATGGTTTTGGTCAATAAACTGAACCCAATTGGTTTGTCGGGTACATGCATGCCTGCCACTTGTATATGTTTACGATCAAATATTATACAATGAACCATTCATTTTATTTTTAAAAAGTGAAATTGTCAAGTTTATTCGTTTTATAATATATTAATTATGTTTTTATATTTTATTTAATAAAAGTATTTAAAAAATATTAATAATTTGTTAGATCAATTTATATTATATTTAATGGTTAACTTTTAATATTATTTTTTATTATTTAAAAATTTAAGAATAAAATCATATTAAAAATATATATACTAAATCGACTATCGTTTTATATATGTTATAAATACTTGTATTATGATTTGTATTTTGGAAATAATGTATGTATATTAGAATATTATGACTTTGAATCGTTAAAATTAAAAATAAAATAAAAACTCCTAATTTAGATAATTAAATTATTGTGAATAAGAATATCATGATATTAAAATTAAATAATTTAATCTCATCTTTAATGTGCTTCATTTTTTTTAATATCTCAAATATAACTAATCAAAACCTATTCTTGGCGTGCTCTAAAATTTTTTTTTTTTTGACGCTCTCTTATAATATTGTCAGGTCAGAAATGGGAAAATAAAATGAGAATTTTCGATATAATATGTTATTTCTTGTTTATTTGTAAATAACAAAATCAAGTTAATTACTTTGTTTTATATACTTCACACTTCGCATTTTGTGACGACCTTTCTTTTGAATGATATATATCTGTACATCTACCCTCTTAAAGTTAAAAATATGATAATAAAAAAATTAGCCAAGTCAACTAATATGTTTTTTCGGGGTAGAAAATTGTCAAAATAATTGAATTGCTCAAAAGTTTTCTCAACGTTGAAGAACTGTTAAAATCTATTCGAAAATCGGCATATATTCGTTAGCCATTGATTTAATTGATAATTTCGGCTAAAACAGGATAACTTTATATGGAAAATATCTGTAGTCCTAAATAAGTTAGGGAAAATATAAAATCTATGAACTAACTATGTCCTTTGTAATTATTATTTTGTGTCCTTTTGTGATTCGTTATTCAAAAGAAAATCATGATCGTGATGGTTGCAACTTGCAATCCACTCAATGTGTAGCCGTAAATTTAAAGGAGCAAATGAAGTTTGGTAATGCTATAATTAATGGATTCCTTATTTTCTGATTATATCTATATATTATTACTAAAAATTATTTTTATTTATAATATAAATATAATATATATTAATATATTATTAAAAAGTATAGGTATAATATATATTGATATTGTAATACACGATATATGTTATTGAATTTTATTCAAAATTAACATTAAAATTATGTATAAATACATGTCAAATAAATTTATAACTATATATATTATTTATAGTGATACTTTTTGTATGTGAATGTGTGTATTATTTTTTGTAGTGTATGATGAATTGTTCAGGTGATAGAATCTTTATAAGCTTTGTGGATTTTCTTGCTTTTGGGTCAGTTGAATGTGATATTGTGTTCAGCAAAAAAAGTTATTGATTACGAGATTTATAGTTAACTTGAATCCTTTGTCTTGTAGTAATCATATATGTGAAGTGCATTTGCATTAGTGGCATCATGAAAGTAAAAACGTGTTCCTAATGTTAATTATAATTACTTTTAATTACTAATAAAGGTAAGCTATTGATCCTTCTTGATTAGTTAATTGTATTCAGCAAAATAAAATGCGTACTAAATTTGAAGTAATAAGGAGAAAGTTAGTTGGAATCCTGGTAAATATAATAACTAACGATTTGTGGATAAAAGAATGTCACAGAAAAGTGTAAGACTTTTCTTAACTCGTCTCTAATGTAACTTTAGAATATAGCATATTTGATAAAGGAAATTTAATGAACCATGCAACAAAAATTGTTTTAGCACTACAACGATGCAAAAGAAAAAAAAAATGAATGAAATTTAGTGACCCTTTATTTTAATTGGGTCAATGATCAACAGTATGAATATCTCCTATTGGCCAATTGGTAAGAAAGTTAGAATTAAACAATGCAAATGAATTATATTTTTTTTTTGTCTCCCTTCTTAGTGGAGGTAGAGGAAAAAAATTAACGAATAAAAGCATTGCATTCTTTAAATAAATTGTGGGCTGCGTTAACAATATGTTAAATATTATCGTGGGATGACATAATAAAAGTCAAATATATGTATGTGTTCATGGTGGAAATTTGTTAGAAGATTTTTTAAGATCGAGATGTTATCATCGACAAAATAATTCTCTATGATGACACATTAAAAAAAAATGAGACATATAATCAATTATTAGCTGTGTTATTTTTGTTCAAATCAATAAAGGTGTAACTTGATATGGCACGAGACAACGTTACACTAGTGCAAAAATTGGATTTAAAATCGGAGTTTTAAGATCGGTTATAAGGTAATCGATCTTAAAAGTGACACTTTTAAGATCGGTTCTTTTACAACCGATCTTAAAAGTGACACTTTTAAGATCGGTTCTTTTACAACCGATCTTAAAAGTGACACTTTTAAGATCGGTTCTTTTACAACCGATCTTAAAAGTGACACTTTTAAGATCGGTTGTAAAAGAACCGATCTTAAAAGTACTTTTAAGATCGGTTCTTTTAAACCCTAAACCGATCTTAAAAGTGTCACTTTTAAAATCGGTTCTTTCATAACCGATCTTAAAAGTGACACTTTTAAGATCGGTTCTTTTACAACCGATCTTAAAAGTGACACTTTTAAGATCGGTTATGAAAGAACCGATTTTAAAAGTATCGTTAGAAATCTTTTATATTCCCCTCCATTATCATTTTCTTTAATCTTTCTCATTTTCTAAAGTCTTCAGGTAAATTTCGTTTTTCATTTTTGTCTGCTTATGTTTTTTGTGTGTCTCTTATCGTTTTCTCATTCTTTTCTCGTCTCAATTTTCGTTACAGGTTCGATTTGGGAAAATTTTGAAGCTGGAACGGCCCGTTCTGCAAGGAGAACGGGCAGTACTCCATGGAGAACGGGCCGTACTCCAAGGAATTAAGATTGTATTTGTATATATTATTTTCCATATTATAGGATTCAAATGCTTAAAATATCTAAGTTAAGAAATAATCCTTAGTTATGTCTAATACACCCCCTTCAAAAAAAAATTAAGATTTAAAGAAAAAATATCTTCAACAGTCAAAAAAAGTATATTTTATAAATTGAGTTAATCATCCGTATACTGTTAATGTAAAATATTTTACACTGGCAACCAATTATATATTTTAAAGTTACATCAAATTTCAATAATTCAACTGTTAAATTAAAAATTATCAAGTCTGTAATTTTTTTAAAAATAATTAAAAATTATTTAATACTTCGTTTTATTAATTCAAATTAACAATTTTTTTTATTATCCATTAATTTAAATTAATATAAGAAAATATCAAATAATTTTTAAATTTTAAAAAAAATTTAAACTTGATTTATGTATTACAAACTTTTAATTTAACAGTTAAATCATTAAAATTTGATATAAAACATGAATTATAGAATGAAGAAAATCTAAGTAAATGTTTGTCTTCTTATTATGAAAGTGGTGTATGTGATATCTTAGTCGAATTGAC